AAGTGCACTTATTTCATCTTTTTATCTTTTTTGGGTCACATCAATCAACATTTCCTCTCTACTTTTTCCACACATAATACAAAAAAAGTCAAAAAGTACACTTATTTAGTCTTCCCAAACTTGGCCTAGTTCATTTTAGATCGGTTTTGGTAATCGGAAAAGTATATTTTTACGAGCTCATTGAGTATAATATTAATGTAAAAAATCAAAATGATCGAATATTAGTAATTATATATTTGAATAAAATTTATATTACAAAAAATAGATTGACATTTTTAAGATTATATTTGTCGGTCATTTTTTTAAAATAAATATGACTCAAACATATAATTGCTAATTTTGGTAACTTAATGTGAGCATAATTGGACTCTAAAACCATTAGCAGCTCCTTTATTGGCTATGCCGAACGATCACGGGGTTACAAGTTTTATGATCCCACAAATAGGTCAATATTTGAGACGGGAATTGTAACATTTTTTGAGGATGTTGAGTTTGGGGGGAGAAATCCAGTTAGAGATATTGTCTTTGAGGAGGAAGCAGGAGTAATCTCACTTCCTACTACTACTTTTGACCAATCATAGGTTCCTATACCTGTCATTGCTCGAGAAGTAATTTCGGATCCTCAACCAGACAATGTTGTTCAAGATAATATAGTTCAAACCCCCATTCAAGATGAGGTAATTGTTCCTGAGGAACAAACTCTACAACCTCAACCTCAAGAATCTGTGCCATTAAGACGATCCACCAGAGAAAGGAGATTTGCATTTTCAGATGATTATATTGTATATCTCCAAGCACATGAGGTAGAAAATGGAATGTCAAAAGATGATCCAATCAACTTTCGTCAAGCCATGGAAAGTTCCAACTCTCATAAGTGGATAGAAGCCATGAATGAAGAATATAAGTCTATGCAAGACAATAAAGTTTGGGAACTTGTCTTATTACCAGTTGGTGCGAAGCCCGTAGGTTGTAAATGGATATTTAAAACCAAAAGGGATTCAAATGGTAATGTGGAGAGGTATAAGGCACGTCTTGTAGCCAAAGGCTTTACTCAAAAAGAAGGAATTGACTTTAAAGAAACTTTCTCTCCAGTTTCTTCGAAAGATTCTTTTAGGACAATTATGGCGCTTGTTGCATATTTTGATCTTGAGTTGCATCAGATGGATGTCAAAACAGCTTTTCTTAATGGTGACATTAAAGAAACAATTTATATCGTGCAGCCAGAAAACTTTGTGTCAGGAGACCCAACGAATATGGTTTGCAAATTGACTAAATCCATCTATGGACTCAAACAAGCTTCTCGTCAGTGGTACTTCAAATTTCATCAAATTCTCACTTCGTATGGTTTTGAAACTAATGTTGAGTAAACACATATTTTTGGTTTTATATGTTGACGACATATTGCTTGCCACAAACGATATAAACTTATTGCATGACACCAAGAGATTTCTATTTAAGAATTTTGAAATGAAAGATCTTGGTGATGCTTCCTTTGTATTAGGAATCGAAATACTCCGAGATCGTTCTCGGGGTATTCTGGGATTATCACAAAGGAGCTATATCGAAAAAGTACTCAATAGATTTGGCATGCAAAATTGTAAATCAGGTGAAACCCCAGTTGCTAAGGGAGACAAGTTTAGTCTCAGCCAATGCCCGAAGAACAGTCTTGAGATTCAAGAAATGCAGAAGATTCCATATGCCTCGGCTGTAGGGAGTCTAATGTATGCTCAAGTATGTACGCGTTCGGATATTGCGTTTATAGTTGGCATGTTAGGCAGATATTTAAGTAATCCTGGCATGGATCATTGGAAAGCAGTCAAGCGTGTTATGCGATATTTACAGAGAACAAAGGAATATATGCTCACATATAGGAGATCGGATAAGTTAGAGGTCATTGGATATTCCGACTCCGATTTTGCTGGATGCCAAGACAGTAGGAAATCCAAATCAGGCTATATTTATCTGTTAGCTGGCGGAGCAATTTCTTGGAGGTCTGCAAAGCAGACGCTCATAGCTTCATCCACCATGACCGCAGAATTTGTAGCATGTTATGAGGTATCAAACCAAGGGATATGGCTACGAAATTTTGTCATTGGGTTGCGTATTTTGGAAGGCACTGCAAGACATGATGGATCAGGTGAACAACGTCCAGGACCGTTTGCAAAATACCTGGAGGAATGTGGAATCGTCCCACAATACACCATGCCAGGATCACCTAGCATGAATGGTGTATCTGAGAGACGAAACCGGACTCTTAAGGATATAGTTTCAAATAGATTGTCACTGTAAACCTCTACGAGACTGGATTTGGATCATTGTAAGTTTTTCATACTAATGAAATGCTTCAATTGCTCTTTATTTAACTGTTCTTGTGCTTAAATTCTCTTAAATCAAGCCACTAGTAAAAGTCCTCTTCATTGAGGCTGAAAGAACTACAATATAATCGTCTGATAATTGGTTGGCAATTAAAATTCTATAAGGACTGATTGATCCTTACTAGCACGCTCACAATTACAAAAATAACCTTCGAAAGCCTCATATTAATGATGAAATAATTAAGGATTAGATTATATTATGAGTTAAATTGGATTTATCAGATGTATATATTTTTGGGGCGTTACAAACAAAGTAACAGATTTGTTCAAAATTTTAACAAATAGTGGCTTATTTGGACAAATAGATTTAAACAGTTTGATGTGTTGGATAAGCTTGTGAATTTCAAGAGATAATTTGATATGCTTGATAAATTGTAATAGAAAAAAATTGAATAGATAGATAAAAAAATTGAATAGATAGGAAAAAAATTTGAACAGATAGAAAATAATCTAGTAGATAGATACAACATAATTAAATGTGATGTTATCATTTATAAGAAGCCTATGATTTAAGTGATTCGATTGCTCAGACCATCTTAAGGGTATATGTGTTATGGACCTAATGTGTAGATACTAGTTGTATAATTTCTATTTCTATGAGGGGCAGAAATAGAAATTAAAACATATTGGTTAAAGTTGGTTTTCATTCATTTTGAACTTCCATAACCTTTCAGTTTTAAAAACCAATTACAACCTTTAAAAGGTTATGATCCTTATTCCTTCCCAAGTGGAAAATAAGAACACTGCCATTTTTTTCCTACATCTTCTCAAGGAGAAACATAAGGCACCAAAGGGGAAAGGATTAGAAGGCAATAACATAATCAATAACAAAGAGTTCATTGATAATCACGCTTCCGTTTAACCGTTCATCAATGGATTCAGGTATGTCATTTTGTCTTGATTTCTTGATAATACACATGGTAAATGATCAAAAGTGTAAGGTTTATGTTCTGAAATTTATGTTTACATAATAATGTTTAAAAATCACGATTTTTAACTGTGATATTAAGTTTTCAATCTCAAATTTTTTTAATACAAAAAGCATGATAAAATAACTAAAATATTAAAAACATTAATAAAAGTTAAAAAAAAATACAAATTCAAAATTCAAAATCTAATTTTAAAAACTAAGAAAAATATTTTGATATTTTCAGAATTAAGAAAAATATTTATTTTGTAAAACTGGGTTGAGTTGAGATTTTGATATTAATAAAATATTTATCAAAAGACTATTTATTTTATAATAAAAATTTGTTAATGTTATAAATTTAATAATTTTTTTGAGTCTATTATTTCGCAACAATATATATATCTATTGCGGTGGGTGGACAAATTTTGAGATTTATAACTAGGGTGGGAAATGAATAAAGCGGTTCGTGAATAAGTTTGAACTCAATTTGGTAAGAATTTGCTCGAATTTGATTTGTTAAAATTTTTTGTGTTTAAACTCGAACTCATTAAATTTCTAAATAACAAACCTAAATATTCTAAAGCTCGGCTCATTAACTGGCTCGTTTAATATTTATTATTTATATATTAAATAATGTATAAACATGTATAAAAAATCAGATAAATATGTTATTTATATATTTAAAATATATAAATGTAAATAATAGTTAATTATAGATAATGCATTTATATAATAGCGGAAGTATATATTATTATTTTGGTAAAATATTAAATTTTTTTAGTATGTTTATATATATTGTATATATAATTGTATAATCAAAATTTTAATTGTAATTTTAGTCTAATACGCAAATATGACTTTATAAATTTTTTGGCTCATTAAGACTCGTAAACAGGCTCAAGCTCGAGCCAAGCTTAAGTCAACTCGACTCGAGCTCGGTTCGTTAAATTTTTATTGAGTTCAAGTGTGAGTTCGTTAAAATCTTAATAAACAGGCCCAAACATATTAAAACTTAGCTCAGCGCGGTTTATTTGCAACCCTATTTATAACTTTGTTTTAACGTCAGGCTTAAAATGATTAGATGAGGTTTAATGTCAAACTTGGAATAACAGGTAGGGTTAATTACACTAAGTTCTTGTTTGAGAATAAGTTATTTTAGTAATTTTTTGACTTTTTACGAAAAGAAGTGCAGAAAAATAGAGAGAGTGATATGACAACTTATAGTGACTTTTTGATTTTTTAGTTAAAATAGTTACTCTCTAAACGAGGCCTAAGACTATTAAGGCTCCCTTAACTATTAGTAAATATCACTTTACCCTCTTTATTTATGAATCCATACATACTAATTATTTCAATTATGAAAATCATACAAATATATCCTTTTTGGAGATGGGCTGAAAGTTATCTAGAGAAGGTAAAAATGATACCTTTTTTATAATTTTATTTTTTTAAGATATTACATATTTATAGTTGAAGAGGTCAAAATGTACAAATTTATAAAAAAATAAAAATAAAGTGACAACCACTAATAATTGATGAGATGTTAGTGTAAATAACCCTAAGAATATATGCCGTAACTATATGGTGTAAGTCCAGTCAAAACCCAGCTCGACCCGGCTCGTTTTGTCCAACCGATAACAACAACCACGTACGTTAATCAGTAAAGCCGGGAGAGTAGGGCTTTGAGTGGCATCATGCAAACTCACTTTCCGGATCAACCAACAACCCATCAAAAAGCTGCATCACACACTCCTCAATCCTACTCTCTCTCTCTCTCTCTTTTCGCTATATATACTTTGAATAAGCAAAGTGAATAGGCCATGCGCGACTTCTCTTATTTTTCTTGAATTGAGAGACCTGGGATTGCTGAAAAGCCTCAGCACCCAACTGGGGTATAATCTATCTATCTATCTCTACTAGGAGCTTATTATTATGGCGATTTGGGGACTCGGGAATTTGCTTTTTGCATTAATATTAGTGGGCGGTGTGGCTGGCCATCCTTCTTGTGGGTTTCCAGCTATTTACAGTTTTGGAGACAACAATTCCGACACCGGCGAACATGCTGCCATGTTCGCCGACGTGGGTTTGCCCAACGGCCAAACTTTTTTCCACGGCCCATCTGGAAGATATTCCGATGGTCGTGTTATCATTGATTTCATTGGTAAATAAAATGCTTATTTACTTTCTTTCTTTTCTTTCTTGGCATGAAGATGATTTCTAATATAAATGTTTAAAACATTATTATTCTTTATTGCTTATAAAAAGCATCTCATATGGTCCCATGAACACCATGAAATTTTTGTATAAATTTTGTATTTGTACATCAATATTCATTCATTTAATTATTATTTATGGGTTTCTTCTTATAATTGTTGAATATTGGATTGGATTGCAGCTGAGGCTTTTGGATTTCCATTTTTAAGTGCATATTTGGATTCATATAAGACGAATTACAGACACGGTGCGAATTTCGCGTTGGGAGGATCGGCGATCCGTGGAGGACACGGCTTTAGTCACACCAGCTTTCTTCAACAGGTCTTTCAATTTGCTCAATTCAAGACGCGCACCACCGCCCTCTTTAACAAACTCGGCTCTGATCGTAACTTCTCCATCTTCCCTTCAATCCTCCTTACTTATCTTATGAATATACTTCAAAATTATATAAATAAATATAAAAAATAAAATATTCACATATATTCAACTTATTACTCTTATATTTCAATATTGGACAAATTAGTAAAAATTTCATTTTTATGATATTAGTATTAAGGATTTTTTTTTATTGTAAAAATATAATTAATGAAATTATTTCATCAGAATGACATATATATTTTTCATTTTTACCATTGAAAAAGTCAAACGTCAATTGTGGGTGGTGATGATGCTGGTGCTGGTGCTGGATTAAGGACAAATAAGTGGTGCAGGATTAAGGACAAATAAGTGATATCGGATAAATATGTCGACAAATAGGTAATAAATAAAGATAATATGATTTTTAAAATTTTTATTGTCCTTAGTAGTCCCAAAAAGATTAAAAGTTAGGACTATTATCTTTGTAATTCTAAAAGACTAAAACTTAGGACTATTGTTTCATAATAATGTTATATGTATTAATTAGTACACTAATTAGTATACTAATTGATGATGTGACATAATCATGGTATTTGTAATGTGATTAGTAAGTGGGGTCAATAATAATGTCATGACTAGTGTTGGTACGCTAGTTAATACACTAATTGATGCATGTAACACCATCGATTGTTTTATTATTCTGTCTGAGAAGATAAAAATATGTAAAGATGAAGTTTATTTGTTAATTTTTTTAACATAGTAATGTTAGGGGCTTATAATTTGGATTTTTAAATTTATTTACTCACAATGATGTGATAACAGATATATACCTTACACAATTGAGTATATGACAAATTAAAAATTAATATGTATTCTATCATATCATTGTTAATCAAATTGTGAAAGTTTTTTTTTTTGAATCTTAAGTATTTTTTTTTTCAAATTAATTAAATTAAAGGTATTTACAATGTTTCTATGATGTGGGAGCAGCCAAGAACCAATCAGCAAAAAGCATTCTCCCGAGGCCCGAGGAGTTCCGAAAGTCATTGTTCATAATAGACGTTGGTCAGAATGATTTTGCCTTCGACTTACAACATACTTCCCTCGAGGATACCCGAAAACAAATCCCTGAAATGGTCAAAAGTCTTGTTGAGCCCATCTCAACGGTAAGTCATTAATTACATCATTTAATTGACGATATATTAATTTTTTAAAATTTAAAATAATTATATTTATATTTTATAATAATTAAATATGTAATAAAAATTTTTTATTTCATATTTGGAATGGAGAGAATTATTATTCGTGAGAGAATAGCATTACACAAAATAAAAAATTTCATTACATACATAATTTTATATTAATTAATATTTTTAATATTATTAAAAATTTTATACGACAATGTTTGAGGTATCTCATTTTCAAAATGATTAAATATATAAATAATTCTAGTATGATCCTCAATAATTTAAATATGTCAATTTGATTTTTAATATATTAATTTTATCTTTAAATTTAAATAGGCATCACCTTTGTTTCCAATGACAATTAGCAATAAAAATAAGACATATATTGTATATCACATTTCACATTAAAAAAATAAAATAAAATAGTGGAATAGATTAAATACATTGTGGGTCCATAAAATGTGTTTTGTTTTATTTTAGTTATCGACATTTCAATTATGTCAATTTAATTATGAATTTGTTCAATTTGGATTTAATTGGTTTTCAGTGTGTGATCTAACAAAAACACCCCCATTCTCGTTACCAATCGTAAAAAGAAACAGAGGTGAGAACCATTTAAAGACAGTTAATAAGTCGGGAATTAAATTGACACATTTTAAATAACAACAACCAAAATCATACATGATGCATATTTTGTGAATCATTTAACCCTTTAAAAAATAAAAACCCCCCGTCTCACTTATATTTATAAAAAAAAATCATTGTCACATTAATTTTATATCAAATTCGAGCAATGCTGTAATCACAGAATGATTCATATAAAATGCAATTGATGACTGGAATTAAGTTTTAATAGAATGGAATGTGCATTCAAAATAAATTCTAATCATTCAAGGCAGCTTATGTGATCATTATGTGTCATTAGAAGAGTTTGATACTGACATGTGTTTTGGGTTCATGCGTGTAGTTTCTAATTGGAAGGTACGAAGCAAGGCATTTAGTGATACATAACATTGGTCCCTTTGGTTGTCTTCCATACCACATTAAATCGTACCAAAAGAAAAATTCAACTTGTGCTTTGGACCAATATGGGTGCGTCAAGGAACTAAACGAGGCGGTTCAAGAGTTCAACAGACAATTAAAACTCAAGATTGCTGAGGCTAGGAAGGCTAACCCCAATGCAACCATCACATATGTTGATGTCTATTCAGCTAAATACAATCTCATCAGCAATGCAAAGAACCTAGGTATGTAATAAACCAACTCTACAGTGAGCACTATAATATATAATTCTTGATATCTCTGTCCAATCTCGACCTAGAATTAATTTGCACTTTTGAATTTTTGTACAAATTGATACTAAATTCAAAAATATGTTATTCAAATCCTAAAAAATTTAAAATTGGGTTCGAATTGCTTAGATGGAACTCGCCTAAATTGTACTCATGTCTAGTGGAGGCAAAATCTTATTAGGAACCAAACACAAATTCTTTTAGTTATTTGATTCGCTGGAAGAAGTGAAGATTTTTGTCTAGTAGAGGTGAAATCATATTGAAAACTGTACGCACAAATTTTATTTGAGAGGGATTGAGAGATGGGTATTAAAACCACCAATTGTTAAAATTGAAGAATAATAAATACAGTGAAAATAATTTTTAAAAATGAATAAATTTTAGTATTTTTTAAACTTTTACTAGGGTAATTAAACTTTCCACAAAAAAATTAAATTTTCAAAAGTCATAATTGCCTGCATTGACCCAGTCATGGCTCTACCTGTGATATAGAAATTAGGGATAACAATGGATAACTTACCCTGTGGGTATCCATGGAGACCCAATCTAAATACATGGGTTTTTCCTTCTTTTTCTTATCCATTGAGTAGGGTAAGTGATATTCTTTAAATATCCACAAGGGATGGGTACCCACTAATTTCCCCATTTTTTTTTTATTTAAGATTCACAACCAAAACTAAATATACATTCAATCTTTTTTTTCTTTCTTTTTATTTATTTTTTCAGGTTCATAACCTTTTTTTTTTTTTTTTTTAAGATCCACAACCAAAGCTAAATATACCTCCAATCTTTTTTTATTTTTTATTTTTAAGGTTCACAACCATCTTTTTTTTTTAATTTTTAAGATTCACAACCAAAGCTAAATATACATTTAATCTTTTTTTTTCTTTTTTTTAAATTTTTTTTTAAGGTTCACAACCAATTTTTTTTTTTTTAATTTTTAAGATTCACAACCAAAGCTAAATATACATTTAATCTTTTTTTTTTATTCACAACCAAAGCTAAATATACATTCAATCTTATTTTATTTTATTTGGCTCAACAATAAAATCAAATACACATTAATTAATATTGTCACATTATTCTTGTCAAATTTTATGCATATCTAAAATTTTTTAAATTTATTTAAAAAAATTAAGGACACTGTCTAGTGTATGTTTCGGTTTGCTTTTCTATGTTATTTTATTTTGTTGTGTATTGTAATTTTCAGAATGGTTTGCTTGTTCTGAAATTTCAATTAACGAGTATGAATCTATTTGTTTTATGTTATCACACAATTTATACAACATATATATATATATATATATATGAATGTATTTGAAAATAAGGAAATTGTAGAGAATCAAAACAAGCATGAATCGTGATTGGTTAGAAATGATGGGTACAAAGATTTATTTGCTAGAAAAACAAAAGGGGATACAAAGTCTTACTAAATAATTTTTTTTAAATTAAAAGAATTTTTCTTAGTTATGAACAGATTTAACTGAAATCAGCTTGTTTCCCAATGTTATGCTTCATTTATTTAGATAGAAAATATTTTTTAATGAAAAATATTTTTTATAAAAAAAATTTAAAAATATATTTTTTTATATTTGGTGGTGGTGGTGATGGAACGAAGGTGAAAGTAGAAATTGTTACATAGTGGTGGGGTGATGGCGGCAGTGATGATGGTAGTGGCTATGGTGATGGTAGTGTGACAGTGAAAGTGAGAATAGTGGTGATGGTGTTGTGAAATTAGTAAAAATTTAATTGAAAAAACATTTTTTGTTTTTTAAAAGTAACAAACAACAAAATTCGTGGGGAACTAAAGGAAGAAGATGGAGGATGGATTAGGTGTGGTAATGCATAGATATCTTAAAATGAGTGGTTCAGAATTGTTAAAGGTATAATTAGATTTTGGATAAATTAAAATGAATGGTTTTAAATTTGTCTATAGAGAAAGATGTTTTAATGTCCTAAAATGTCCGTGGCTAAGAGATCAACAAACAATTCTTATTTATGCCCTGGATGCAATTTAATATGAGTCTTATAATACTTTCTTCAAACAAACTTTTTGATTGTCTCAAAATTATATATTTAGATTATTATAAACAAACTTTTTAATTAATTAATTAATGTTATTTGATTTTGTTGTTGAACCAAATAAATAAAAATAGATGATGTATATTTGCTTTTGTTGTGACCTTAAAAAAATAAAAAATAATAAAAATAAGTTGTTAACATTAAATATATATAAAGAAAAGAAAAAAAGTTTGAAGGTATATTTAGCTAAAACCTTTATAAAAAAAGAAAAGAAAAGAAAGAAGGTTGTTAACATTAAATATATTAAAAAAGAAAGAAAAAAGATTGAAGGTATATTAAACTTTTGTTGTGAACCTTAAAAAAAAAAAATTGTTAACATTAATATATTAAAAAAGAAAGAAAAAAGATTGAAGGTATATTTAACTTTTGTTGTGAACCTTTAAAAAAAAAAAAATTTGTAACATTAAATATATTAAAAAAGAAAAAAGAATTGAAGGTATATTTTAGTTTTCCTGTGAATCTTAAAAAAAAAAAATTGTTAACATTAAATATATTAAAAAAGAAAGAAAAAAGATTGAAGATATATTTAACTTTTGTTGTGAACCTTCAAAAAAAAAAATTGTAACATTAAATATATTAAAAAGAAAGAAAAAAGATTGAAGGTATATTTAGTTTTTGTTGTGAACCTTAAAAAAAAAAAAATTTGTTAACATTAAATATATTAAAAAAGAAAGAAAAAAGATTGAAGGTATATTTAACTTTTGTTGTGAACCTTAAAAAAAAAAATATTTTAACATGTAAATATATTAAAAAAGAAAGAAAAAAAAATTGAAGGTATATTTAGTTTTTGTTGTGAACCTTAAAAAAAAAAAAGTCGTTAACATTAAATATAAAAAATAAAAATAGGGATTAAAGTAGGTTGGGGAAAATCCATACCCATTAAAAAATAGGGAGGGTGGTATCCATGGGGAATGGGGATGAGGAATTAATATCCACCCCATTACCCCCATTGCCATTCCTAATAGAAATACTATACACTCAAAAAATAAAAAAATAAAAATACTTCAAATGTTATTTTAAAAAAGAACAGGTTAAGATCCCTCTAGACTATATATGTGACTCAAGGATATTGTTGGAACTCATGATCCGACTATAAGTTTCATTTTAATAATTTAAACAGTTTATTTTATTAGATTCTTCGTGTATATCATATATACATAAAATTAAATTAATTAATAATTATAACCGATTTAATTTATGGATGACAGGCTTTGAAGATCCAATGAAGTTTTGTTGCGGCAGTTATAACGACCAATACATTCGGTGTGGCGAACAAGATTCGAATGGAAAGTTGATTGGGACTGCATGCAATGATCCATCAAAGTACATAAGCTGGGATGGGATACACTATACCGATGCCGCCAACAAACTTGTTGCCAAACACATTCTTAATGGCTCCTTGTCAGATCCTCCAGTTTCATATGCTGAGGCTTGTCGTATATAAAAGTCAATTGTCACCGTTCGATCATTTCACTATGTATGATCATAGTATATCAATATAGGCCTACCATGTGTTCTGTGCATGTTGCCTCCATGAAATGAAAAATACTATATTGCCCACATGTTTCTTTGTCTTTGTATGTAGTTGTCTATGCAGTAAGCAAGATTTCGTTGTGTTGTAAATATAACTTTAACTTTGAACTTCTAACTTGACATCTTTGAACTTTTAACTTGAGAATCTGTGTTTGGAAAGGTATTCCAAACATATTTACCTCCATTAATTTAAGTGTGGTATTTATTTTGAGTTTTTAAATTATTATTCTATATCTATTTTTGAAAATTCCTTTTCAGATGGGAAAATTTAGTTAATCCGGTCGTTCTCCCGGGCGTTCGGCTGGTTGACCGGAACAGTGTTCGTTTTTTTTTTTTTTTTGTACACTTGTTATTTTTATATTTTATATAAAAAATATTTTCGGAATTTTTTTTAAATTTTTTTTATGAGTTTTGAATAAATTTTGAATTGTGTGTTTGGTTATGAGTTATAAATTTTTGAATTAAATATCATATGTCACATCATTCATTTCAAACTCAATTTAAAATTCTTTTCAAAACTTATAACCAAATAAATTTTCTACACTCAAATCATAATTCCAAAACTCACAAACTCAAAATACAACTCTATTCTCAAATCATAATTCTAAAACTCTATTCTCAAATCATAATTCTTTTAGTGTCTGTCACGACCCAAACCCGCCCCTATGGGTTTAGCACCGTAACTGGCCAGTAATCCGAGATTACCGAAGGCCTGCTTAACAGTAATACAGTAATACAGAGTACAGGGGCTGGCGGAAGCCAATACAGTAAATAAACAATGTCCAATGAGCTGTGATAATCTGTATGCAAAAAGACTTTTCATTCAAATATATATACAGTCAGACAAAACAGTATGTACATATATACGATCGTTCAGTCAGGGACCTAATCCTTATTAAACAGTACAGTACAGTAAACAAAACAGTTACAGAGACAGAAGGGGGAACTAAACACCCCTAAGCCATAACTTGACAGGCTCGAAACCCCGCATTGAGGCACATATGTTGGCTCGACAAAACTGGAGTTTACCCCGACGCTTCTAGCTGCGGTCTGGTGCCTGTGCACCTACATATATATACGAGCAGTGAGCTAAAGTCCAGTGATTAACACAATGCGTAAAGGGGTTAAGAATGAATGTCCTTACAGTAATGAAAACAGTTCATTAAATCAGTATTTCAGTCGTTCAGTCAGTGCAGTCATATGTGGTACATCCATTAGCATAACAGTACAGTGAACAGTAGGTCTTAAAAGACCGAGCAGTAAATGATGCCCATCAATCAGTAAACAGTAGTGGTTCCAACAAGGGAACCGACAGAGATCTCTGTAATGGTAACAGTAAACAGTAGGTGCTAAAGATGCCACAATACAGTTCAGAATATAGGACATACATTCATTCAATTAACAGTATCAGTTCAGAAAGCAGTACGGTTCAATTGTTCAGAAGATAATCATTTTGAACATATCTTTACACAGTTGTTACTCACAGAGTTCTGGGCTACAGTAAAGCTAGAGCACATCTCTCGTCGCCAACCCTACACAGTTACTGATTGAACACACACTAAGCTACATAGTTGGGAAAGATAACAGCTTAATCCCTAATTTGCCTCGGTGAGGTTCTATATCTATATCCTCAATAAGATGGCTTAAACTAGGCCTAAGAATGCCTAGAATGAGATGAGGATGTAAAGATGCACTTTAAAAGCATTTTCAGACTTTTCAGAAAACAGGGGTCACGCTCGAGCGTAGGTAACTCCGCTCGAGCAGATATGCAGACGAAGGTTTCCGCTCGAGCTTATCATTACCCGCTCGAGCGTTCTGTAAAACAGTCAAAAGTGCTGGATAGGCGAAAATCACGCTCGATTGGGCGCTCGACACCCGCTCGAGCATGAGACACAATGTCCCGCTCGAGCGTCAATTATTCCGCTCGAGCGGAATTCAAAACAGAACAAAATGCTAGGAGCACGATTTCCACGCTCGAGCGCCAGTTACCCCGCTCTAGCGTGAGTCCAAATTCTGGAAATTCCAGATTTGAACCTCAAGCTCAAAGCCAAGTTTTAAATCATAAATTTCGATCCTCTTGGGCCAATTTTCTAGAAAACACATCAAAACTCATACTTTAACATGATTCAAAGCTCAATTTGTAAAATCAAAGCCCAAAGGTGTTTCAAATAAATCCCATTCAAACTAATTTTCATGAATATGAAGAACGTGCAAACATGCATGAATTTAAACACTTCAAAGCTTCAAATGCTAGCTCAATTGAGCCAATTCTTTCTAAAAACATGATGAAATCATGGACTACTCTTAAAACATGGACGTGCATGTGAGAAATGTGAACTACAATCTCAAAACTTCAATATATATACATGCGTGCAACAATTAAGCTTTAACACAACAATTTGAGCCATAAGTTGGCTCTAGTCTCCAACCTAGGTCTAAACCATGCAAGAAACAATTTAAACACAAGAATGAGAAGATGAATTTCAACCTTAAGTCTCCAATTCAAGGAAGAGAAGCTCAAATATGTAATTTCTTCTTCAATTTCCAAGCAATTCACAAGCAAAAGTGAGATGAAATCAACTCTTCTAGTCTCTCTCTCTCTATGGTCGGCAATAACAAAGAGAATGATTGATGAATTGTGTGCCTAAGTATATAATAAGGCTCAAATATGTGTAAGAAAGTGGCCACTAAGGGGGTAGTTAGATAAATAAGCTTAACTCTCTTGATTACTTAATTTAATCTAATTAAATCATACCAAATCACATTTTAACTAAATATGCCATAAAATCGCATTAATTCTAAGGATCACAAAGCATCAATCAATTTCAGATTTGGCCGCCGATAAGGCCTTCAATTAACAGTTTAAACATAAAAACTGAACAGATAATTAAACAGTCAACAGATAGACATACAATTAAACAGATATACTTAGTCAATTCAATTCCATATTTCAGTCAGTCAGTTCAGTATTTCAATCAGTTCAATTACCAATTATAATCAGTCTCAGTTTAGCAGTAATCAGTAGTTAATCGGTAAACAGTGGTGAGGGTTATTACAGTGTCTTTCACATGATTAATGCATCAAAGAGTCCTAGGGAGTCTAAGTCAGTAATCAGTGGTTAATCGATAAACAGTGACGAGGGTTGTTACAGATATAGATTTAACAAAAAAAAAATCAAAAAAAAAAATCAAAACTCATTCATAACATAACCATATAAAAATGTACAAATATACAATAGCATATTGAATGTCTACTATAATTTTCAAAAACTACTACTCAATTCTTCAAGACCCTAATTTTACAACCCAAATCTTCAAAATCTTTGAAACTCCTAATTTTATATCCCGTAACCAAAAAACCAAAAACAAAATTGCAAACCAAAAATTTTAAGAAAAACTAAATCAAAATCAAAGACCTAAACCCTTAAACACAAAAACCAAAAACACAAACCTTCATAGAAACAAAATCAAAAACACAGAAACACAAATCTAAAATTGAAATCAAAATCTTAACAAAAACTAGCAGGTAAGTCCACTGACGGCGAGATGACTGAATCAAGAAGGGGTGACATAAATTGGAGTTCCGATAACCTTTAGTTCGGCGATGGTGAAATGAGAGAGAGAGAGAGAGAGAGAGAGTGTGTGTGTGTGTGTGTGTGTGTGTGTGTAACGCCCCACTACTTGCTGGCCCAAGTAACTTGTGGGTCGACCAACAATACCCAAAAGCTTAAGTTCAAGTTATTTAGTAGCAAGGTAGTGGTGCTTTATATGTCCAAGATCACCCATGCAAACTTCCGATGTAGGACAAGGTGTTACAAACTCCCTCACTTATAAATTCTTGTGTCCTCCCGAGGGTCTATAATTTATCAAAATTCCACGACAAGCTCGTGGCTAGCCCAGAATAAGTGGCCTACATGGTTGTGTGTATGGGTCGGCTCTGATACCATTTGTAATGCCTCACTACTTGCTGGCCCAAGTAATTCGTGGGTCGACCAACAATACCCAAAACCTTAAGTCCAAGTTATTTGGTAGTAAGGTAGTGGTGCTTTATATGCCCAAGATCATCCATGCAAACTTCCGATGCGGGAACACACAGAGAGAGAGAGAGAGAGAGAGAGAGAGAGAGAATTTTACAAAACAGGAGCTCCTCTGGTTCGTAATATTTATTACATTTGTGCGTATTGCCTTCTTCTTTTCTTTCCTTTTCTTTTTTTTAATTAAAGTAACCAAGCGGGATCCACCACTACCACGTGGCTTTCCCTGTTGCTTTCGCTAAATGTATTCACTGTGCCTAGTCCTATTGTATATTTAAACCACAAGGGGATAAAGTGCTACAATCTAAAACCATAAGGGTAAAGTGCTTTTTACCATATTAGTTATAAGATTAAAAAATTTATCCATTTTATTAAATAACGTGGCCATCCAAATCTAATATGGATTACAAAATTTGTAACTAAATAATGAAAGATTAATGATTCATCTACACAAATTTTTTTCCTGAATTCTCCCAAATGAGACTCTTACTGGCAAGATTTTTTCATTTCATAAACTCTAATCAGTAAGAGTTACATTTGAGGGGATCCGAGTAGAAAAATTATGTAAATATAACATTACTGATAATGAAATATAAGTCACATAAATTAATAATTTTAACCATATACTATAATATGTCCAATCAAACAAGTCCTATAATGTAACTATTTATTTGACTAGTTTATACTGTAATCTATTAGAGCGTCACATGTCGTTGCTGTGACCAACATAATTTCATGTTAATCAACTTGTATTATTACTCAAATTCAATACAATACAAATACAATAATGAGATTGAAATGGTTAATTGAGTTGATCAATCATGAGTATGCGTGTGTTGCTGTTGGTGTTGGTGTTGATTAAGTTGATTGAGTCACATGCTCAATAAGAGTTGCCGTGAGTGCCGTCAATCTATATATTTAACTTTTGTTGTGAACCTTAAAAAAAAAATGTTAACATTAAATATATTAAAAAAGAAAGAAAAAAAAATTGAAGGTATATTTAGTTTT